AACCTCCTTAAACAAGAAGCTAAACTACCCAACAACTGACACCAGTTGGCCAAATTCAACTCTTTTTCCAGGGGTAGCTGAGAGCTCCATGTTTTTGAAAAGGAGGCCAGACAGTTTAGGTGCTGAAATATGGATTTAGGAGTCTAACTTTAAATCTCCAGGAATAATCACCATGGTCTAGTTATACAATGTTAACGAGAACACAGGGAGCACCGCTACAGGGCTCCCAAACCATTTAATGGAACACTAGCCTATTCCTATACACTGTTACCTTTGGGATTTTAAGGGAAAATTGGAGATTCAGGATTAAGGTTCCCACAACACTGTGTATAACAATACGGTCTCTGAGGTAATGACTAAGAAACCCAGTAGGGAGTAGTAGGAAAGGGAATGTTAGTCCCCTGAGCAGATCCCCTGGTGCAGGGAGATCACATCACTGAGATCTTCTTTTTGAGGAGATTCCTAGTAGAACCATTTCAATTTTAACAAGCAGCTGAGCAACACTGATGAGCTGAGAGCATTAATTCCCATCCCCCCCCCCCCCCGAAAAATGCCATTTCAACACAACGTGAGGAACAGGAACTGCAACCTAATATGGATTTGTTCAACAAAATAGGGTCTTGAGCAAGATAGGTACCTCTGGCCGCCACCTTCACTATCATCAGAACTGCCATTTGAACACAAATTGAGGATACTGCCCCAGTGTCCATAAGGGTGAACTTGCTGATATCATACATGGCCACTTTTACTTCCTTTTTATGCATGTTTTTAGCTCACATGGAAATTTCCATCTCTGAACTAAGTTTGCATATCTCACACCCAAGTAACACTGCTCTGCAGCTCTGAGCCTTTATAAATGTTCCATTGCATTGGTTACAGTTTGTTGATCAGCACTGGGCCAGTCAGACGTAGCAAGATGATCTCTCAGGTTCAACTTATCTGGCTATTAGTGCTCTGGATCCAAGGTAAGAATCAAATGAAGGGGGCACTGGATAATTTAAGTCACAATGATCCACAGAAAAAATTAAGAGGTCTAGAAATGTTAATTATTGATCTAAAAAACATTCCTCACTTAGTGACAGTAACTTCTGAAATGCTTGTCTCCTAACTACAATTAAGAGAAAAAACAGGTTTGAGAAAAATACAAGCAATTGAAAACAATGGGGAATAAAAGAACCACCTCAAACTTCTTATGAATGTTATTCTCAGAAGATGAACTATCAGAAGTATGGAAAGAGGCACATGGGAATATTTATCAAGACAAAATATTGGGTATTTCGATTATCTATACTGTGGAGAGATACGCCAATTGTACAGACTACACAGAGAGATAGAAACACTATGTAGAGAGACACTATGCATGTACATACTAATCTATATTCTGTTTGTTAATTCAGACTCCAATGGGCAGATTGTATTGACTCAGACTCCAGAATCCCTGGCAGTGTCTCCTGGAGACACAGTCACTATCCGCTGCAAAGCCAGTTCAAGTCTCTACAGCAGTGGCTTTGAGAAACTAGCCTGGTACCAACAGAAATCAGGACAAGCTCCGAAGCTCTTTATCTATCATGCTTCCAACCGTGACTCTGGGATCCCAGCCCGGTTCAGCGGCAGTGGGTCTGGCACTGATTTCACTCTCACAATCAGCAGAGTTGAAGCTGAAGATGCTGGGGATTATTATTGTCAGCAGTATCGCAGCTACCCTCTCACAGTGATACAGACCAATACAAAAACCTCCCCATCCTGTCCCTTTCATTCTAACAGCTGCTTCTGATACATAATTGCTACATTAGATTTCACACAGCATTTTGGCACTCTTATAACACCAGGCCAAATTCCCTGCTCCCACTGCTAATCTTTCTGTAATACTGTTGTCTCTTTCCTACACCAGTGTCCCACTGCTGACAGTAGTGCTGAGTCTCTGCCGAGATGTCTGGTCCTTTCAAGTCAGCTTCTCAGCATAAGTGAAATTAGTGATGTCGAGGTTAAGAATACTAAGCTAAACTTGTTTTATTTACTCACATGCACCAGTCCTGAAACAGAGGTGATTAAAAACAGCATGCAGGCAAACCACCCGCAGGGTCAACCAAATTGCTGACTTGCCATTTCTCCTCACGCTATACATATCCAGGCTGGCTACCCCACTCTCGCAGTGTGTGTCACTACTGCCTCTGTCCACAGAGTATACATTGATATTCCTTTATCTATACCCTATACTCTTTCTTATTTCTCTCAACGAGCCAAACCGCTTGGATATGCCATTTTTTATTACTGCAACAGGCATGTTTAAATCAGCAGTCATGGGGAGTGTGGAACCCTTTTCCACACCCATAACATGGGTCTGTCTGCTGAGTGGACCACCTCTTGCCTGTGGTTACAGATGTATGCATTTCTACTTCCATTTTAGCTCCCGTGTCACACTTTCCATTGCTAGACCAATTTCTACTGAGCCTTTAAAAGTCAGATTTCCTCAGTTAGAACCCTCTTCTCTATGCTTTCATTAAGCAACCCCCCCACAATTTTCTCTTAGGGCCCTGTTAAGCCCATCCTTAAAAGCACAGTGTTATGACAATCTTTTTTAACCCTGTGGCCAAGGAAGAAATAGATTCACCCAACAGCTGATTCCACTTGTGAAATCTGAACCTCTCTGCTATAATCAGTGCGTTGGATACCAAGGGCTCTTGAGCAATTCACACTCTCTAGAAGGGTTTTGCTTGCAGGCTCTCGGGGGCCATCAAACTGTGTACAAAACTGTATGACAGATTAGTGCTGTACTATTGCATTGGCTTTGCTCTGTGAATCAGCTGCTTCACATACGGACTCACAATGTTTGTGCACCTGATACTCTCCATATGGGGACAGAGCTAGGGTCACACTTCAGGCACCATTCTGCTGCTTTCTTTTGACTTAATCTTCAAAGACTTTTCCCCCCTAGGGGGCATACAGTCTAACCACTGCTCGCACAGGATGAAAACATTCTTCTTTCATTCTTACGTAACAGTAAGGAACATTTGATGGTTTAGATAAAGTCAGAACATACAAAAGGGAAGGATACATACTAACACGGCTGCCCCTCTGATACTTGGCAACAGGGAAGGGTTTTCCTGGGGGTTACAGCAAAATCTGAGACCAGTCTCTACCACATCACACATGGCAAAAGACTTAAATCCCTCACATACTATTCTTGTCTCTTCTATATACTGTTCCGTCAAATTACAACACTATTCATTTGGCTGTCTGCTGCGATCAGCTGATGACAAAATCTGTGATCAACAAGATGACAAAACTAGTGAACGAGAGAAGTGGAGTGTATTAAATTCAGAACGTTTTGGCTGTTAGCTAGTTTAAAAAAACACAACTGAGGGTCAGATTCTTCTCTGAGTTAAGCTGGTATAAATTGGAAGAAGATCCATTGACTTTGGCTCCTTTAAGGAAAACATTCAGCTCAACACTCCATCAAAAACTCTCCAGCCATGATCCCATTGGTTTCTATGAGCTCTATTAACTTGCTAACACATGTATAGGGAAAGAAACACAAGCACCACCCAGCGGTTGTCATGGCTAATGAGTTAGTTTCCCAGAGCCACCAAGACCACAGCAGCAAAAGCCTATGGAACCGTCATGTGCCATGAAGTCGTAGTACTTTAGCGTTTCTCTACTGGTCTCCGTGCACTGATCTCAAAGTGTTCCACAGGAAAAATCACTATAGTTACTGAAGGGGAAACTGAGGCGAAGTAACTTGACCAAACTCCCCCAAAGACTTCAGAGACCTAATGTAACCTGAGTGAGCATTAACTCTTCCACAACTACCCATGTGTGCCCTTGGGAGTGGTGGACCACAGGGGAGGCCAGGCCAGGCCAGAGGAAACCTTGTCAGCATGGTTCCAGTGGCTGAGGGCTGAGGCAGAAAGGCAGACAGCCCTAGAGCCAACACAAAAGCATAGTCCCCACCACACCAATGGCCCTGACCTCCTGTGCATCCCCCAGACTGTGCAGTGTTCGGGGGCAGAAGCGCTGCTTCTTGCACAAGGGGCCCCAGCAACAGAATGGATTGGAGAAAGCTCTTCAAGAGAGTCCATGCACAGCTTATTTTCACTCCCCATGGAAGGAGATGGTCAGGCCCCAGGTCTCCTCTTCCCAAAGCTGTCGATCTACCACCTATCGCCAAAACAAACCTCACACAAACTTCCTAAATGGACTCGGTTCCTGTTATGGATAATGCCATTTTTCAGCAAGATCTTTAATTGCTTAAATCTCATTCAGTCTTACAGCCCTTCATATCTCAGTTCTCTGCTCCTGGCTATTCCAGGTGCCTCTAGCTGTGAACACCCAGAACCCTGATGGCCTGTCCATGAATGTGCTGCAGGATCCAAGCTACAGATGGGTCAGAGTGGCATGTACTGGAGACAGACTGAGAGCCACATTTATTAACGTTTCAAGGAGGTTGGATTCAGCACTTTGGTTCAGTCCTTTAAAGAGAGAGGGGCCAGTCGTGACAGTCCGCTCCAGAAGCACAGCCAAACACTTCCACAGTCTGGAGCAGCTTGAACCTGGGATTTTGGTTCAGACCCAACTCTAATCTAAACACAGGAACTGCAGAGCTGAATAGTACTTTACTGCACAAGCAGTCTCAGGGAAATCAGTACGATTGTGTCTGAAGTGAGGTACTTCTCAGAATCTGGCTCTAACTTCCAAATGATACAGACACAAACACTGGATGTTCACCTAAAGCTTACATTGATTATAAAAGCCCTAGCAGATACGTGAGCAATAATACCCGGTTTCGTCCATAGGAGCTGCATTCTCACACCGAAGGCTGCACATGGCCCTTTCTCTCTACACCCTTGCGCCGGGGCACAGGGAATGCTCATTTACACAGAGCAGCAGCTTTGCATATTTCCACCTGAGTGGCATTTCCTTGCAATGCCAGGCAGATATAAAAGTTAGACTTAGACTTTATGCCTTAGATTCTCAGTGACCGTCAGACTAGAGGGACAAGGATGATTTCACAGACTCATCTGATCTGGCTCCTGGTGCTGTGGATTCAGGGTAAGAACACCACCCGGGGAGGTATTAGATTAAGATAATCGTCATCATAGATCTCGTCATCAAATCAACATTAATTCTTCATCCCATTAGATCACAAGGAGACATTTCCAGTGGACACAGACTTTAATGTAACTAAGCGGTTCAACTTAAAATTTGCAGCTCTCCATTTTTAATAGTATTTAATTTGATTTTCCTATTTTTCTTATAATGTTTTTCCTTTCCACCAGATTCCGAGGGGCAGATTGTGATGACTCAGACTCCAGAATTCCTGGCAGTGTCTCCAGGAGGCAGAGTCACCATCAACTGCAAAGCCAGTTCCAGTGTTGGCAGCTACATGGCCTGGTACCAACAGAAATCAGGACAAGCTCCTAAGCGCCTCATACACAGCGCTTCCACCCGTCCCTCTGGGATCCCAGACCGGTTCAGTGGCAGCGGGTCTGGCACCGACTTCACTTTTACAATCAGCCGGGTTGAGGCGGATGATGCTGGAGATTATTATTGTCAGCAGGGACAGAGCTTCCCTCTCACAGTGATACAGACCAATACAAAAACCTTTGTTCTATTTCTGTTATTCGGTGTAACAGCTGTTTCCTACCCACTCCCAGAGCAGGCAAGTGTGTGCCAGATTTTGGTCACCTTTTGAGAAACCACAAACCACAGTCTAATTTTATCTTCTCATTTCTACAGCTCCCAGCTGGCTGGAATTTACAGGCTGATATATTGAAATAAACTCAGCAGCTTCCCTTTGTCCACTCAAGTCTATGCACTCCTTCCTATAGGCAGGGTCCAAGCTCCCACTATCATTACAATACAAGCCATACATCAGCTGACAAATGGTGACCACTGTACAAAGCCTCTAGAAGCTACCTGCATGAGCAGAAACAGCAGATTGTATGGAATGCTGGGGAAGGAAGCAGCCAAAGACTAAGGCCACGTCTACACTAGAAAGCTTGTGTAGCCACTTTAAGACAAAGACACCAGCGCTTATCTCAGCAAAACTTATGTCACTCAGGGGGGTGGAATATTTATACCCCTGACTGATATACGTTTTGCTGACATAAGTGCTAGTGTGGACACAAGCCAAATGCACTTAGACCCCTTTCCATATGTTGCAGTCACACCTATGGGACCAGCTGAATCTGCTCCCTCTCTGGTGTCTCTCAGTGTATCCCCATAGGTGTTAAGCCTCTTCCCTCACCTGTCTCACGGTGGAATCATGGAATCCTCCGACTCTTTGATCATGACCAAGACATCGTATATACCTGCCCCTTAACACCCGCCAGGTCTAACTGGATTCCGAGCAGCTGTGTTTCATAGAATGATAGAAATGTAGGCCTAGAAGGGACCTTGAGAAGTCAAGTCCAGCCCCCTACGCTGAGTCAAGACCAAGTCAACCTAGACCATTCTTGACAAGTGTTTGTCCAACCTGTTCTTAAAAACCTCCAATGACAGGGATTTCACAACCTCTCTTGGAAGTCTATTTCAGATCTTAGCTACCCTTAGAGTTAGAAAGATTTTCTTAATATCTAACTTAAATCTCCCCTGCTGCTGATTATGCCCATTACTTCTCATCCTGCCTTGAGCAGACCTGGAAAACAATTGATCACAGTCCTCTTTATAACAGCCCTTAACATTATTGAAGACTCTTATCCAGTCCCCCCTTTCTCTTCATTTCTCAAGACTACATTTGCCCAGTCTTTGTCTTAAACCTTTCCTTATAAGTCAGGTTTTCTTCTAAATCCTTTATCACTTTTTTGTTTTGTTTCCTCCTTTTGAGAACCTGTGACCAACGATAGTGACCAATAGCCTCCTTAAAACAAAGTGTTTCTATTTAGCAGTTGGAACAAAGTATCAGAGAAACAAGGATTTTCAAGAATAAAGAGATAGCATGTGCGTTTGATCTTATCTAATCTTACACTTTACAACAAGTGAAATCAAACAGGCTAGCTTCTTAAATTACAGAACAAGAACTGAACCAACTCATATTCCCTACGCGCTTATCTACACATGGAGTCATTCCGGAATAGCTATTAACTATTAATACCTATTCTTGAACAGCTATTAACTCAGAGTAGCTATTCCTGAATAGCTCCGTGAGTAGACAATCTTATTCCAGAATAAGTGTGCTTGCTCCTCTTTAGCTGAACCTGATTTGCAAGAGTATTAAGCACAACAGGAATAAGGCGCTTTTAGGCTATATCTACACTAGAAATGCTAGAGCAGGGCAGCTGCATAGCACTTAAGTGTAGACACGTTACAACAACAGGAGGAGTTCTTCCATCTCTGGAGGAAATCTACCTCTCCAAGAGGACGCAGTTATGTCAATGGAAGAATTCTTCCATCAACTTAGTGCAGTCTGCTCTGGGGCTTACATTGTCTTAAGTACATCTCTCACAGGTGTGAATTTTTCACACCCCTGAGCTACATAGAAAGGGCCACCTAACTTTCTAGTGGAGGCCAACTCTTATTCCAGAATAAAAGTATCCACACATGGAGTTATTCAAGAATAGCTATTGTATTTTAAATTGACACCATACCGTAATCCAAATTATATTGCAAGTGTAGACAAGTCCCTAAACAACAGAGATCCTCCTCTGACCCACCCTGGTCACAACTACCCACATGTCCTGATGATGTTTCCTCTTTCCTCCGCTTGTCCTGTTTGTCACCACCTCTTTCAAGGAAGCACCAATGAACAGTGTCCATCACTTGAGTCTGGGCCCAGTTGCCAGATAGTTCACCAGAGTGTAACAGTCATTGTTTGAAGGCCTAAGAGTGAAGTCTCCTGGAGCCTCAGACCACCTTTTGCTTGTTAGAATGAGCATGAGGATGGCTGCTCCATTGTCAGGGCATTTAGACCCATTCAGTCTTCACAGACTGTAATAGCTACTCTGATGGCTGTCTCCCCCAGGTGACTCAGGGTGTTCATACATTATAAAGCCAGATGGGACCATCGTAATCATCTAGTCTGACCTCTGGTACTTTGCAGGCCCCAGAGCTTCCCTGAATTAATGCCTGTTTGAACTACAGCATAACTTTTGGAAGAAACAGCCAAGCTGGATTTAAATGGGGGTAAACTGAGGCACAGAGACGTGAGGGGACTGCAAATCCAGTTCTGTAACCTCTACTCATGCTGAGTAGAACCTTATCTGCGAGGAGTAAGGTAGTACTTAACATGAGAAAGAGGGGCAGAATGAACCCCTGAGTGAAAATGGAGAAGGTAAAAGTTGCTGAAGACGCAGACATTCAGGCTCTGGGTACTCAGTTAATTCCCATATTGTTTATAAGAGCCATATCCTGCTCTCACTACATGTCTGAATCTCTCATTCAACTCAATATGAGCTGAACTCTCAGCCTGAGGGATGTACATGGCCCTTTCTCTGCAGTCTGTGCTCCGAGGAACATTCACAGAACCCTTTTACACAGAGCAGCTTTTTGCATATTTTGCATATTTCCACCAGGTTGACATTTCCAGGTCCTACAGGGTACGTATAAATCTTTCATACCCTAGACTTTAGGCTTCTGACCTTAGGGTCAGTCAGTCCAGAAATCTTAAGATGATCTTTCAGACGCAGCTTCTCTGACCCCTAGTGCTCTGGATTTAGTGTAAGAACAACAACAGGATACACTGGAGTAAGATAATTGTATAGAAAGAATTAAAGGTTGTTAATTTCTTCGTCAAACCAAGAATACTTCTTACCACATAAGACTGCAGAATCCTACATTTACAGTATACAAAGTGCTTCATGTAACTAAGTAGAATAAATGGAAATTAGACATATTCAATTTCCTTTTTAAAAATATTCTTAATTGGATTTATTTTATCTCAGGATCCAGTGGCTGGAAGGTGAAGGTAGACAAATTTAGACTAGAAATAAGGTGAACATGTTTAAGAGTGAAGGCTGTTAACTATTGGAACAACTTACCAAGTGTTGTGTTGGATTCTCCATCACTAGACATTTCTTAATCAAGCTGGCATGTTTTTCTAAACAACTTGCTCTAGTTCAAACAGGAATTAATTCAGGGAAAGGCTATGGCCTGTACCATGCTGCAGCTCAGACTAGATGATCACAATGGTATGTTCTGGCCTTGTAGTCTATGAATCCATATGTCTTCTAATTTTTTTCCCCATGCAAACTCCACTGGGGACACTGTGATGACTCAGACTCCCGAATCTCTCTCAGCATCTCCAGGAGACAGTGTCACTAGCAACTGCAAAGCCAGTTCCAATGCTAACAGAATCAACGGAACGTGATGTGGTATCAACAGACATTGGGATAAGCTGCCAAGTTCCTTATCTATGGTGCCTCTGAGACCGGTTCAGTGCGTGGGTCTGGTGGTGACTACACATTTACAATCAGCAGGGTTGAAGCAGATGATGCTGGATTGTCAGCCAGGCTATCGCTCATCACAGTGATACAGACCAGTACAAAAAGCTCCCTGCTTTCTTCGCTTTCTGTTCCTCACTGTAACAGCTGCTTCTTATACAGAGTGACAGTACCAATGCGCCTGCAGTCCTTTCATAAGGAAATGGGATTTGTTGGGCTTTTCTCCCTATAGTCCTGTTTTCTCCCATCATTTTAGAGTGGTCAGCACGGGATATGGAAGAGACTAAACTCAAGGGGGAGATACAGAGAGAGAGACCCTCAACTGGTGTAAATCAGTGAAGTTACTTGGGCTATGCTGATTTACACCAGTGGAGGATCAGTCCCACATAGGGGGGTGGGATAGCTCAGTGGTTTGAGCGTTGGCCTCCTAAACCCAGGGTTGTGAGTTCAATCCTTGAGGGGGCCATATAGCAAGTGGGGTTAAAAAAAAACTGTCTGGGGAATTGTCCTGCTTTGAGCAGGGGGTTGGACTAGATGATCTCCTGAGGTCCCTTCCAACCCTGATATTCTATGATAGTCTGTGCTGCTCTGTAAAGCTGCACATTACATTGCAATCCAAGCACCTTCTTAAAGAGCTTGCAAAATGCAGAGACTTCAGCTCTACAAATGAATAAGTAAATAAAACTCCAGAGCAGCAGCTGATGTTAAAATAAAATGAAAGTGGACCTTAAAAAATACCTATTTCTGTATATTAACCTTTGAAAAGAGGTTCTTCACATAGCAAGATTGTCTGGTTAGCAAGTGTCTAAAAGAATTCCAGCATATCCTTATGTATCTTTATAAAACGTGAGTATTAGGCTGAAATCTCTGCAAGCCTGCATCCATTGAAATCAATACAATCCCGGCAGCAGAGAATATGGCCCACCATATTCAAGGTATTAATTCAAACCCTTCAGTGCTACAGAACATTCATGTCATGGCCACAAGATGGCAACACCTACCCATACTATTCTGGAGCATCTGAAATTTCAGCTAAATAGTTTATAACAAAGTTAAATAGGATAGTAAACTCACGCCACACATTCGGAAGGAATGAAGATAAATCAGTTCTACTGTCCCCACTCTCATCAGCTCTGCTCTTGATTACTGTCACATCCTGCTCCCAGCCTCCCCAACACCCACTGTGGGTCCTTTCGCCATGCACTGGTGGAAGGGGCCTCACAGGTGGACAGAGGTGTAATTTGACCTCCTTCCCTTCACTGTCACTAAAAATGTCTGGTGCTAATAGGAACCTGGACAAGCTTCTACTCTCCTTAGTTCTTATTCTGCCTCCTGTCCCTTGGGAACTCCAGACCAGTTCAATTTTAATGAGTCTGACCCTTACAACACTCCTATAATCAGCAGATTCAAAGCAGATGATGCTGGAGTTCATTACTGTCAGCATTACCATAGTCCCCACTGCTTTCTACATCCTCCTTCTGTTTAAAAACATATCAACTCGCAAACTGCAAATCTCAATTCTCTGTTTCTGTTTAACAGAAAACATTCCCCATTACTCTAATGTTAAACTCGACCCACCCTCCCAATATCACTGTTAATTGTAAACTGTGAGAAGAGTTAGATTAGTAGAAAAAAACCCTGGATACTCAACCAACACTCAGATTGTACAGGCCATTTCCAATTTTAGTTTTTTCTTAAAAGCCTCACTCTTGCAGCCCAATCAGTAATCCATTCTGTAACTTCCCAGCCCAGAACTTTGGGAGACCTCTCGGGTTTCCGTAAGTAGAACAGGTCGTGTGTAGTCAGTATGGGAGCTAGAGAACTAGGCTATGTCCAGCATCTTCAGTAAAGCTTCCCCTTTACATCCCCAATAACAGAGTGCCTGTCTCTTCTCTTCTCTACTCTGTCACATGACAACACTATTCTCTTGCCAGCCGCTCCCATC